ATCTGTTAGTATAATTTTTTTTTAAAATGTCCTACACTATCATCATCTAATGTGGGGTGATTTCTAATGAGAATCCTCTGCAATACAACTAAGAAATACAACTGAGATTTCCTTTCTGCAATCGGCAAGTGCAGCACATCATAAGCCCCGTCAAACTCAAGCCCACAGGAGCTCCACGCTGAATGTAGCTCACGTTGGTGAGAGTCAGCAGGATAATAATTTAAGTTCTCCAAGATGCTACCTGGTGAAGGCCTCAATATAAATATATTAAAGTTGCTGTTGTTGTGATATACCAATCGACATCAACATGTCTGCACCACAGATGCTGCTGCTGTTGCACCTGAATCTACCTCCACCAAATGGTATGAGCTTTGAGGCTTCAGAGTGATTTGCAGTATCTACAGCCTGATTTATGACATGCAGAAATTTGCTACTGAAAGCAACATGAATGCATTAGTGCATGAGTTAAATTATAAAGTATATACGCTGTCTATTGGGCATAATGTGTATTTTAGGCAACTTATTTGAATTTGTGTCAATTATTTATGCTACATGCATTTTCAATTTAAGGTCTTATAATTTTTTTAATATTAATGTTTGTATACATTTTTTAAAATGTAATGGCTTTTTATTTCACCTTCACCATTGTATATTAACTTACTGAAAAAAAAGAAAAGAAATAAGAGGAACAAACAATTATATGGCTACTTGTCTGATGGAAAAAATGTATTGGCTTCTGCTGTGTTTATAGTGCCAGGAGTAAAGATCAATGTAAATTAAATTGTATTTACACAGATAATACCATTTTACAGGTTGATACAATACTCTGAGTCATGAATGCCAGTTTTGTTTTTAATGCTACTCTAATAGTAGTCAGTGGAATAATATAACGATGCAGTGGAAATCAGATTCATGCTTTCTGCTCTACAACACAAAAAGACTCATGAGCAGAACTCTGCATTAGATTTTTTGCCTTATTTCACTCCCCCCGGTCCTTTGTGCAACTGGTTGTATAGTAACATTAAAAATAGTCCATTCATTGTGCCCGACTTGAACAAACCTTGAAAGGACCACAGGGGAAACAAGCCCATTCAATTCACATTCACCGTGTTTATATTCAATGAATGGACTATTTTTAATGTTGCTATACAGTTAGTTGCACAAACAACTAAAAAGGTGAAATAAGGCTAAGAATATAAACACAAAGTTCTGCCCATGAGTCTTTTTGTGAAGTAGAGCAGAAAGTACAAATTTAAATGTGACAAGGATGTAACAAGTAATATACCAGATGTTTGTCAGCAAATTGCTGCTAAACATGCTGGAGAGGGAGGTTATCAAAATAACAGAAAGACCAAACAGGCGGAGAGAAGACAGAGAAAGAAAACACAGGAAAGAATTTTCTCTCATGGAAAGATGTGTGAACAAGAATCTCAGATTCCTGGGAATCCAATGGAGCCCTAAATGGTGATGGAGATACATCTATAAATGTGCATATGGAAGCTAACATTGCCAGCATTTTCAGATATTATCTCTGCACAGAAAACTATTTAAAACGCATATATGTTCAATGCCATTCTGCTTCTTTCTCAAAAAATTGGCATTTTTACTGGGCCACAGTATATGTGAATAAGGTTCATAATCAATATTTTAAAATGTTCTATCAAAGTGAGTTAGGTATTGCTCAGATCATAAAACACAGGGTCCATTTTAAGATCTTTGAAAGTTATCAACTGAATGAGTACCTGGCTTTCTTAAATGCTGAGCAGGAGAAATGCAATATCATTAGCTTAATGATAGCAGCATATATCTTACATTGGTTGCCAAAAATAGCAATAATTTCCCTCCATATTTACAATAGGCTTTCTCATGATTAAATGCTGCAAAAATCTTTATATTAGTGAGCACCATAGGGTAGATCCCAACAGCAAAGAATTATGAGGTTGTTCGATGATTAGTTTTTCACTCCATTAAAGTATCTTAACGATTCTCTTAAGACATAAATGTGACAAGGTCAAATCAAGTAATAGAGTCCAGAATTGTGAGACACCATGAAAGAGATCAATGCTGGACATCCTAAAATTTGGATCAAACGCTACTTCTACTTCTGCAGTGAGTAATTAAGGCTGCAGCAGCACTCTTTGGGGGAAGGTGGGGTCAGCAACAAGCTTGGCAGTAGGTGTTCATCTGAGACATTGCAATCTGTCAATATAACAGACATCTAGCATTTCCGATTGATGATGTTATCCATGCAACTTGGTGATGAGAACAGGACAGTAAAATATTGAGGTGAATCTTTGAGAAAAATATCTTTGCTTCTCACTTTCCCTTTTCATCTGAAGTTCCTATTTTCATATAAATTCTGTGGAGAACAATAAATCAGCACTGGAAGTAATATCATTTGTTAGAGTTTTATTTGGTTATGAATTGACTATTTTACTCTGTACATTATTTTCCACTTCAGTGTATATCTGGTCAGAGAGAGTGCAAGAGAATGTTTCCCCCTGTGGTTATCTGGACAGAGATGCACATGCAGGCTGACACTATTTCAGGGCATAAAGGTCAGAGTAAATAACATAAAAATAATCAGACAACAGCCTTCATCGAAACACTTGAAAACACATAGGATTGCCAGCACAATATTGAATGAACAGTTGCTGGCAGCCAGGTCAGCAAGGCTAGCAGACTCTCACAACCTCTTCCAAACCATCAATACACAAAATACAGTGTCCCACTTACAGGAGCATTTTTTATTGGTTCCTTTCCATTTACCAGCTCCTACTGGTTATTTCAAGAATTTCCCAGTGGAGCTGGGTGTTAAAAATCATTAATGGTTATATCTCAAAACCTTTACAACCCCTCTGCATGCATTAATAACCTCATTACCTGCTCATTATAAGGTCATTAAATCCTGGCGGACTGCCTCAATGTGATTGGTGTCTTGAATTTACCGCTCAATGAGCAGCAGAAGACTGTCCAATTCAAAAGTGCATTTTATTGGAGATTCAGACTGACGTAGTCACTGGTTTTATCCAAATGTCCAAAATGCCTGTCTAACAGGTGGAAGGTCCCCATACATATTTTATGTAATATAATGAAGACCTCTTAGTACCAAGGATTAACTGATAGAGGAAACATTCATTTTAAACAGATTTTCTTGACCTTGTTATGATGATGAAAATAGGGCAGAGTTATAACTGTCAAATATTCACAGACAAAGCTGTATGTATTTTGTGGGCAAATGCAGCAGCCAATTTATGCACAACAGTGACCCACGAATGGCCATGGAGTGAATGAACAATTTTATTTGGGCAATTGTTGGCCAAAAGTACAGGAGAAACTCCCTTATCTTTTTGATGAATAGTACCTTGGGATCTTTAACATGCACCTGAACAGGCAGACAAGACCTCAAGTTTAACTTCTTCAAGTTTAACAGTTTAACTTCAAGCTTAACAGGCAGACAAGACCTCAGTGTAACTTCTCATCTGAAGGATAGCAATGCAGCTCACTTCTAGCACAGCAATGAAGTGTCAGCCTTGGGTATGAGTTCAGATTCCAGATGTGTGGCTTGAACCCACAAACTTCTAACCCAGAGGAAAGAAGGCTACCACTGAACCAGGCTGATACGCTACAAGAACGTTAAAGTATTATAAAACAAAGGCAGCAAAATGGGATTGTGCATTTCCATAGACTTAATGGTGGACAAGGCACAAAAGACTGAATGGCTTAGGGCTGTTCATGTATCACTTGGTTAAATTATTAATTACAAGCTTTTAGGTTTTCAGCACTCTAGCAGTTGTGTGTTTTAAGTCTTCTATCATTCAGAGAACATTTTAGAGCTCAATCCTTAACATTTTAGAATGTTATAGTGCTCCTGTTGAACATTTCTGTGGGCTGATGTAAAATAACCACTTCACATGAACAAAAGAGCAGATAGGAAGGCCTCTGAGCAGAGAGATCCGGCAGGTTGGTAGGAGGTTAGGAGGTCACAGAGATAGTGGAGAGCAAGGCCATGGAGAGCTATGAAGGTGAGGACCAGGATCTTGAACTGTATCCTCTGTGTGTGATGGGAAGCCAGTGGAGTTGGGTGAGGACTCAAATGGTGTGAGAAAGTTCTACTGTTATTGGGAATGTGATAGAGAAAATGTTGGCTATGTATAAAGCAAAATATATGTATTTGGAACATCTGCCTCAATTACATAAGAGAAGAAAGTTTTAAAAAATATATGACGTGAAGGCAACAGAGACATGAAAGAAACAAAAATAGGAAACTGGCCAGTAATTCACTTTATTTATTACTTTATTACTGCCAGAATAAGTATCATTCTGAGGATTTATTTTATCTGCAAATGCTATTTCTGTCAGAAGAAACAAACTACTAGAAATAAATAGTGGTTTCATGCCACTATCCAATAAAATATCTAACTGGATATTAGTTTATGTCAACAGTACTAATAATATATGCAACAAATTTCTTGTTTTAGGTGCTTTGTTACTATCCATTAGTATTTAATAATCTAGTATATTAATCAGCAGGTTGAATATTTACCTTCATTGATTTCATCAAGCGGAAAAAAAGATTTATTTTATTTATTTTACATTGCAATGTTGTATGTGTATTAATTGGCCTGCATGGCAGCAGAAACTTTAGAAAAAGCTACTTTGTTAAAAGACCACCGTACAGTGCAACAATGTTTAACCAAAATGGAGGGACAATGTTTTAGTTTAAGATGACACTTCAAGATGAAAAGATACAACAGAAATAATAAAACAACAGTGATTTTCTCCAGAAAAAATATAGAGAAAGTGAGTGTGGCTGTCATGCTCCAACACAATGGAAAATATCGCCTTAATTTTACTTTGACAATTTATGCCAATCCATTAACATTTTTATTGTAAAGTAGTTTTTTTAATTAAAATTCTTATTGTCAATAACTGGCTTTTTTTCCCAGAAGACTGCAGAACTAATATTTTAGCTGCTTATTTTTTCTCTCCATTTTTAGATTCCCATTGCCATGAATGTTTCATCTTTTCTCACTTATGACCACCAACCAACAACAATAAGTTACTGTGGTGCACATCAAGAGCCTCTTGATTACAAGCAATATGAAATGCAAGCTCAAGAAGAAATTAAGGATAGCCACAGAGATGTTGATATGGAGTTGAGCACAATATCAACTGTAACACGCTCTGGAAGCCATGTTCAGTAAACCGATAAAATGACCCAACACAGGAGAGTGGTCTTCAAGTCACTGTACAATGAACAAGTAAATGAGGCCAAATCCATGACAGTTGAAAAACATTAAAGTAGCCTCATGCTCCGACACATAAATCACTGTATTAACATGGAGGAACTATAATCAAGTGTCACACAAAGGGAAATAGACTGGACTGTTGTTTTTTTGAGTTTCTACTGACTTTAACCCTGCAGTATTTTTGAAGAAAGCAAAGAAGTTATACAGATTTTATTCCAAGCCCTAGTCTTTAAAACCTCACCTGTATATACACAAGCTATTTACCATGTTGTAAAAATACAGTATTTTCATAAAGAATATGCCTTGAAAATTAAGAAACTGAAATAGCTATTGTCAGTTGTCACATTGTCATTTTTTCTAGTTTTAAGGTCTTTGGTGTTTAGAAAGCCAGAATGCTAGTTGAAAATGTATTATTGTGTGTTATTTCAAATATGTTGCTAAATAAGAAACTTTTTAAGTTTTGTAAAAAAAAACTTTAATATTGTTTTAATTTTTAACCAACTAGTTTCCTCAATAATTTCATATTGACTTAAAATGCACGGTGTTGGTCACAGTCACTGCAAAGTAGTATTTGTCTTTAAATAAGTGTCAAAATACATTGAACAAAAGATTATTTAATAATTGTTTATTTGTATTTAATAACCTTAAAAGAAAACAATGTAATTGGGTTATTAAGATTTCTAAGCAAATTTAATACAAACGTTTTAACAACAGATAATTAGAATGAATAAAAATACAATTTTCTGCTGTTAACTGGATACATTTTAGGAACAATATGTAACTTCTACATTTTCTATTATTTAAGGTACAGTATCAATCTTGTTTCTGGATAGTCTTGCATTACGAAAACAGTATGCTTGTTCATATATCTATTTATAACACTGTGTGGGGAAAATGTATTTGCAAACAATTGCATGACAAAGCAATATTAGAGCAATTTTGAGCTTTTTGGATGCACATGCTCTAAAAATACATACTTTTTTTTACAATTGGAAACAGAATGCATCATTGCCAGCCATGTTTCAATACATAAATATACTCTCCATTTAATATTAATGCGCTCCTACTGCTTCTAGTACTTTCATGCAGACAAGCTATAAGTCTGAGGCTGACACCGTGGAGCGAAACCTTCCTCTATTGAAAACTACATCCAATGATGTTGTATTATTGTTTCTCTTCACACCATAAGCACCAGCATGAATACAATTCTTGATGTTTATTACTTATGTATGAGATCCTGCCATTCTTACACAAATACACTGCAAAACATCTTGGCTACAAATAATACCTGTAATGGTTAATTATCAGATAACTCAAGCCAATGATAAAATTGTCTGGATGAAAGAAAATTTACAATCAATTGAAACATTATAAAATAATCTTGTTACATTAACCGTGCAGATAAAATGTAGTATTCAAATCGAAAATTTTCCACTCATGCTGTGAGCAAGTTACTGCAAATGGATCTGTACAAGAATAGAAAAACATATCTTTTTGTGCTGAAAAATGGCATTTTCCACTACCAGGTGAGATACGAGAACTAGATATAGTGTAATATTGCGGACAAAGATCACACATTTCTGAATCAACACAAAAAAAATTACATTGTGTGAAACATGAAAAAAATGGCTCTATGAACTTGTTGCTGGTAAAGTGGTGGGAACACTGAGTAGTCATCATTTATATGTAAGGTTTCACGGGTGAAAGGCTCAGTTGGTGACCAAATTAATCTTTTACATTTTCCATTTTCTTTTTTTTTAAGAAGTAAAATTTACATCTTTCAAGGTACTCAATCACTACCGCAAAACAGCATGCCAAATGCATTCAAGAATGAATAACTGATACCAACAGACCATTCATCTGAACACAAAGATGTGCATGGTGAAAAAAATCTTCTTTGTATTAGGTGGCTTGTGAGCTTTTTCATCGTAAAGTGACCTATCAAACATTTATCAAACACTAACCAAAACAAGTGACAAAACTGTCCACAACTGTAACAAGCTGAGCAAAGGTAGATTACTACCAGTATATTCATAAAAAGCTTTTCATTGATACAGTGAATAACTTCTATGAAATTATTTCTATTTCTTTACGTTTATGAACTGTACGCATTTTATTTTATTTTCACCTTATCACTCACTTGTCCTTTTGCAGTCATATGAAATCCCTCAGAGGACAAATGTTGAATTTAGTTCACAGAAGCATTGTGGGTGAAAACATACTTGATTGCAACATGAAGCTGCGTGAGATAATGGGGTACAGTGTGTACTGCTATTGGTAATGAAAATGTTGACACATTAGTGCGCATAAAAAGATTATGGTAGGCCTGGCAATGTATAGGTTAACAATATATTAAAAATATACTGCCATAAAAGATATTAATCAGTAAATGACATAAACATCCATGTTAGGCAATTAATTGATTGTTAATAGATACATTTTGCTGGGTTTCGCTTCAGTGCAGCAGTGCCATAGCCAGGAAGGGAAATTTGGGTGGGCACCAACATATGGTGGATGGGCAATGATCACTGGTCTGCTGTCATATACATGTATCATACTTCCTTCTCATCGTTCTCTGTGTTGGCTCATTATCTGCCACTCTGGCTCTCTTCCCTTCACTCTCTGCATCTCAATGAAGCAACATGAAAGCAACAGGAAGACAGCCAGAATGGGAGATATGAGGCAGCGATGGGTGGCCCTGGTGTTAACTGGGTGGGCCGTGGCTACACCCCTGCAATGCAGCATAATGTGCATTTTTATTTGTTGAGGATCAGCCAGGTACGTGTGTCTCACTACATCTTCAAAGTGACAATGTTGTACAATTATATCTACTTTTCAAGGCAACTACGCTGTTAAAAGGAGAGGAGGCAGTGATATTTTTTCGAGGTCCACAGTGCAATAAAGAGCACCCACAATTTCAATCCACACCTCACGCCAATCTTTTCAAGCATTTTTCAACACAAAGTAATTCCAATCCCTTCAAGTCCATTTATTTGCATCTCTTGATAAAATCAGTCCTGCTCATTGATGCCCAGGACTCTGACTCATTTTCTGTGATGCGAATGTTTGAGCAGAACATTACATGTGTTGAGTGGTCACCGGGAGACCAGGCATTTTGCTTAACTCCTTGGTTGCTGATCCTAATGTAGCAATCTCTCATTAATGCATCTGGGCAAGCATACCTTTGGTTGAGAAAAGTAGCAGCTGCCTAGCTATGTCAGTATCCGTTAAGACTATAAGCCTCTTCTCGTTATACCTTTCATTGCACTTTGGCATGAATCTATCTCTTCTGTGCAAAATCCATAAGCCACAGCTGTATTCTCAAATAAATCCCTTTTGAATGTTCATTCTGCTTATTAAGCACCAGTTAGCAGCTTGTTTTCTTGTTGTTCCAATAAGCTGGAACTCATGCAAAAATGTGAAATCTTTCTTCTCACAGAAATTCCTTTTTTATTTTACAAAGATTTTCACATGCTGCTAAAATCTTTTCCAACATTCCCACAACAATTTTCTCAGGTTTCATATGGAAAAAGAGACAACAACAACAACAACAACAAGGTTACATTTGTATACAAATAGACATGGGGGAAAATAGCCTTATAGGGTTGAATGAGAGAAATCAGAAAATAAATTGACTACTGTAGAGTTTGCTTGAGCAGCAGAACTTTCCCACTAGAAAATTTATATGAATAGTGTGGAATCCATGATGGGTTAAACTGTACATGGTCTGTAGAATGAAAAGGCTTGATGAGTTTTTCCTTTTAGAATTGAATTCTGGCTGCCATACAAAATTAAAACACACATTCCAGCTTCAATTCTAAAAGCAATAGGCAAGCATTTTAATTATATACCATATTGCAATGAATTGCAATTATAAAATAAATATTTCACTTTTGTTGCACTGAATAGCACAAGATTTTCCTAAATGTTTCCACTGAATTCTGCAAGACGTTGGTCAAGACAGCCTATTTATTCTCTACGAAAACACTTTCAAAATACTAACTGTGTCATCTCTAAGGAGCTATAAAAGACTGTCAACAATCTTGTGCACATTATTGAAGCTCCTATGCATTTGAAGGTCCACTTGTAGCCTCATTTTGTTTTTTTAAAGCATACAATTATATATTTATCACATAAGAAACTCTCGGACTAAATGCTGCTAAATACCTACGATATTTGCTCAACAGAATCCAATTTTTGATTTACTTGTTTGTGAAATAAATCTTGTAGGCCACAAATCCCTATTGAAACAGAGACTCCAGTAGTCTTAAACTACTTGCTATGCCATGTCCAAGTGCTCTGTGGCTTGATTTACCATTTGCTATTCTTCTGCCAAGGAGAACTATCTTACTATGTCCAACATTTTCCCAATATAGCAAAGCTCTTTGTACTAAAGAACCAGATGGCTGGAATCACTCTACATGTTATAATGTCAGCTCTATATGTTACAACATTGACAATGTTTGCTTCTAACATGATTATCCCATTATATCTGTGCCTCGTCACAGTCACTACACATAACTCAGACAGGAATTTCAGCCTTCCAGCCATCCAAAATCAGCTCTTCAATAATATTAAAAATGATCCTGCAAACACTTGGGTAGTCCATATGGACTATTTATAAGCACCATCTGTGTTTAAACTGCAGGCATGGGTGTGCATTGGTTTCCAAGTAAAATCGTCGCATCCAGGCAGCCTTGGTATCTGATCTCCCAAGTAAATTGCTTTGCAATTACATCTCACATCTGATTTATGTAAATTCCTTAAGAGGTTTGGTAAAAATTTCCTGCAAATATCCATGGAAAGTGCAGCATAAATTAGCAATTAGAGACTTCATTCCATATTCCTTTCAGTTTCAAATGAATCCCTACATTTTCCAAATAAGCTGTGATCTCTTGAGCAATGTTTATCATTTTAGTGATCCTTTTAATGCAATTATATTCCATGGAATATATAATTCCATGCCAATGCAATCATCTTCCCAAGTATTGACTGAAGTTAAAACGAGAATTGTTAGTACAGTGTAATAGCACTTCAATTGTGCTGTAATAAAACACTTGAAGGTTAAAGATTAGTGAACACAATGGGTTATTCTCGCCCGACTCCACTGGCTTCCCATCACACAGAGGATACAGTTCAAGATCCTGGTCCTCACCCTCAGAGTCCTCCATGATCTTGCCCCCCTACC